AAAAATGTAAAATAATTTTTTTTAAAGAAAAAAGGGAAAACATGAGGATCAAGACTTTTAACATTACTAGATTCACTTTACAATGGAAAAGCTCAGGTTTGAACACAAGATCATATGAAAAACATTTGTTGCATTAACATGAAAGCTAATTAATTGTTGGTCTGACATGGTCACATACATGTATGCACGCTTCCAGTCAACAATTAATACCACAAGCTGGAGATCATCACAAGGAAACAGGATAGGGAGCACACAAGCATCCAAATAGTATAGCAGTGGCAGTATCAGCAGCAGCTGTGCCCTTTGGGAGACTGAAGTGTGCTGATATGCTACACTCAGGAGAAATAATAAGAGTTAAGCTGGTGGAGATATTTGGTCGCTTTTAAGGACAAACGGACTAACCCAGATTTCAGGGCTTTCCAGAAATCTTGACCTACAGCAAAAGTGGGCATTGCCCTGCCTGCAGGAGAAGTTTGGTTTCATTAGTGTGTTTTGTGTGGTAATAGAGAAAACTCGCCTTGTATTTTAAAGAAACTGAACAAGGGTCCAAAAACTTTACCTGTGATTTTCTCAAAACGGGATAGCCCCCTTGTGCTTAAAAGCGACCATTTGTAGCGGCAAAAGTAAAATATAGCCCCCTCCCTCCATTTTAAACTGCTTCAGCCGGTGCTGAACATTTGGGGTCACCATGGAGGTCCCAGTAGGGTTGTCTATAGATAACAGCAAGCTGTGATCGCAGTGATGTTCAAAGACATATGTTTTACTTTACTGTACTTTACTGAGTTTACCTAAGAACAAAATAAAAATGAATTGAAGAATGTACAAAATACCTTTAGTCTTCATCTTCTTTTCATTCTCAATGGCTGTCAGTTGTAGTTTCTTGAATTTGAAAGTCAGATCCTGTGGTCAATGTTGAAAAACGTAATTTCTATGCATAATTGGCATAATAGGCAAGTCAGCATTTTGTCTACTCAATACACAAGTGCACATAAGCCTGATGACTGAGCTATTGAACAACTACACACTTCAATGTTTAGTAAATAAATTAAATGATTAGTTTTTAAGGTAAAAGTCAAACGTTCAGGGATTTATCATTTCTCACTTGTTTATAAAAACCATACTATATCTCGTATGTAAATGAAGCACAATCTCAATTAAGCTCCCCTTCAAATGCACAATAAAGAGAATAAAATTTTTAAATCATGAACAGTCTACTATTCCATAAAATTTTGCGCCACCATATAGGCTATCAACTACTGGATCTACCTCAATGTGTTGCATGTTTTCTTTTCCAACGTACTTCAGCTCTGTTTTCTCAGTTTCACCTGCAGCAAGAAAAGCAGAAAGTATCAACTATATTGAAAAGCCACAGCAAATTATAGTTCTAATGTCAGTTGCCCTCATTGCATATTGAGACGATAATCATAATCTGCTTGCATTCCTCAGTCTTCAAAATTGACACAATGGGGGGAGGGGGGGGGGGGGGTGCGCAGATTATACTATATTCTTCATTGTCAGAAGCAGGAAGAAAAAGTTAATAAAGAAAGTTCACTAAATCATAAACATTCTAAAGTATCATTAGCTTCACAAAAATAAAACTGAAAAAGGTATTTCACATTTCAAAAGTCGCTCTTCAGTCTTAGAAGCATGAGACTTCAGCAAACAGCACATCTCCCTTGTGGAATTGATTCTGAAATATGAAAAAAACCAACCAAACTTTAAATAGAAAAGAAATATCCACCAAAAGACAGTTTTCACGAGCACTGGGTTACATTATACATCTTTAACACAAAGAGAAAGTCTCATTTTGTCAAAGAATAAAAATTAAAGTTATTAATCGAAACCCTTCCGTAACGGAAAGGATTCAAACTGAAATTCAGGAAGTGCAGTGCAATACTTCAGTTGTTTCAGGACACCTTTAATCAATTCATTATGCAGATACCGCAAAGACATTTGTATTTTAAGCAGGACATAACAATCATATGCGCTAAAAGGTGAGGCACTATAGTAGTGAACTGAATTGGAACGATGGAAATTGTGTTGCAACGAATGAACAAATGGAAACTTGATCTGCACATATGTTATTAAAAATACACATAAACTGCAATTCAAGCGGGAACATGACTGTAAGAAGTAACAGAGACCTTTTCTTAACCGTCTTCATTTCTCTCAGTGAAATAAATACCTTATGTAGTAATCTAATTCTCTCACACAATGAATTTATTTTGTGGCGACAGAAAAATATAAGACATTAAATTGATAAACATCTGTCTTTCAAAAGTATAAATAACAGGATGAACAACTTTGAAAAAAAAAGTAGATTAAAGTACTGGTAAGCATTACAGCATTAATTCACAAACCGTCTAATAACTTCCTCTCTGTTGGTTATTTCTTCTTGTAACTTAGCACTTGTCTTTTCATTGTCCAACTGAAAAAAAAGTAACACTGGCTTTTAAGTTTTATTTTTTAAAAACAAGAAAAAAAACTTCATATTGCTTGAAAACAATCTAAAAAGTAAGCAATATGTCTTTACAAGGTCAATAGAAATTTCAGTAAACATACAAAAAATAACTACACCTATAAGCAACTTCAGAAAGTTTACACCCCTCGCCTAGGAAAGAACTGTAGGTCACAGAAATCATACCAAGAGAATAATAAAACTATCTCTTACAACAATATTTCATGTCTGCAAAGAAAAAAATATGACTACAATAAAATCTCACCTGCAGCTCAAGAAGAGACTTTTTCATTTTTTCAATCCTCACATACGCCTCATTCAATTTCTTCTCCTGATAGAGGACAAAACAAATTCATAAAAACAACTTCATATTTCTAAGAGCATGCTAAGCTCAAACTATTGCGAGCAGTAGACAGTTTGTGATTAAAAACAAATGTTGGGAGAGTAAAATAATAATCAAAAGTAATACCCTGCAAAACTTTTATCAACATACACATAACAATGGACTTAATCAGTGATCTAAAAGCAGGACTGCTAAACCAGTGAGCATTTAGTTGATTGTTGGGATGGAGTACAGGCCACGAGAGCAGACATAATCATAATGTGAGCACATTCAAAGAGAGTTGTTATCTTGCCATTACTATACTGCTGTCATTGTTATAGAAGTACTACTTGTCTACATGATGTATATACATGGCTGATTGTTGTTATCCTGTTGTTGGATGTGACACAATAAAAGCAACCTTCCAATCAGAAAACAAGGGCCTCCCAGCTTCATTCCAAATGTTTTTGTTGCCTCAACATTTCCATATTTTTCGGTAGCATTTCGACTCTTTAAAAGAATGTTTATTAATTTTGTTGTTACAGAAAAAAGTAACATTACACAGCAGCTTTACTGGAAGCTTACTCAAAAATGAAGAAAAAAACAAAACAACCCCCCCCCCCCTTCCTCCCAGCAAAACACAACTTCATTTCTATAGAGAAAATTAATATACCTTATCTCTCAGATCCAGTTCTGTCTGCATTTTCCACTTTCGGATCTTGTCTGCCTCTTGGTGTAATTTGGCATGGAGAGAGGTCAAATGTTCACTGTCTTGTTGCTGGTAGGCTTGGGTGAATTTTTGAGACATTGAGAAGGTGTTCATCTGGCCTGGATAATCTACAGTTTAGGGAAACTGCATGTTAAACATTGGATAACGGAAATTAGCACATCATCATAGCATAGTTTACGGCTTTCAAAAGCAGTTCATTTTTTAATCTCATTTGCATTGTGACTGTTACACTTGCAAAAAAGCAAGTTTTATTTACAGAGGCAAGTGCAGTGGCTAGTTAAATAACAGTGAAATTTTCTTTTTCTTTCGTGTGTGAAAAAAACAAACGTGCAGTACTACATTTTCATCCTTTTCAAAGGGAAAATTAATATTTTGAAATGACTTCTCCAACAGAATCCGGAAAGAAACTGTAACTAATTGGACATTTTTAATGCTTTCTATTCTCAAATTACTTTCACCATCATACTCAGGTAGATTGTGAGAGCCGTTTTTGAGTTTCAAGAAAAAGAAAAACCGACAGTATGCATTAAGACAAGGAAAAGAGTATTTTCTAAGTATTGAAGATAAAAAAGAATTAATTAAGTGGTAGAGACCCAACTACTAGTGGTAGAGGCACAGGCTGGTCATTACCCTGAAACATTAAACTGAAACTTCAAAGCACTGAAGTACAAGCACAGCTTTGTAATCTCCAAAACTGGTGAATGTTTCAAAGGAACAAGGATAAAAATTGTTGACCATATCTGCCAGTGCTGAGCCAGATCTGTCTGAGAGGCAAATAGACACAAGATACTCATGGAAACAAAAGAAACGTGTCGG